TTGTAATCTATTTTGTGTGAGATTAATGTAGATACTGCAGCTTTCTTTTTTTCTTGTATTTTTTTTTATATTGTGGTAAAATATATACAACATAAAAGTTACAATCTTAACCATTTTTAGCTGTGTAGTTCAGAGGTATGAAGTACATGCATATTGTTATGCAAACATCGCCACCATCCAGTTCTAGAATTCTTTCATCTTGCAAAACTGAAACTTGACCCCTTGAGTCCTAACACCCCATTCTTCCCTCTTCCCAACTTCTGGCAACCACCATTTTACTTTATTTCTCTATGAATTCCACTACTGTAGGTACCTGATATAAGTAAAATCATACAGTGTTTATGTTTTTGTGTCCTCAAGTTTCATCCATGTTGTAGCATATGTCAAAATTTTCTTCCTTTTAAAGGCTGAATAATATTTCATTGTATGTCTTTATCATATTTCTGTTGGTGAACACTACTTGGGTTGCTTCTACCTTTTACCTATTGTGAATAATGTTGCTCTGAACCTGGATGTACAAATATCTCTTCCTAATCCAACTTTCAATTCTTTTGGGTATAAACCCAGAAGTGGCATTGCTAAATCATATGGCAATTCCATTTTTAATTTTTGAGGAACCGCCATACTGTTTTCCACAGTAGTTGCACCATTTTACATTCTCATCAACAGTGTACAAGAGTTCCAATTTTTCCACAATTTCACCAAAACTTTTTTTCTGTTTTTGTTTTGTTTTTATAGTAGCTAGCCTAATAGGTTTGAAGTAGTATCATATTGTTTTGATTTTCCTTTTCCTAATGATTAGTGATATTTGTCATCTTTTAATGTATTTATTGGCCATTTGTATGTCACCTTTGGAGAAATATCTATTAAACTTCTTTGCTTATTTTTTAATCAAGTTTTTTAGTTTTTTGTTGTTGAAATTTAGAACTTTATATATTCTGGATAAATATGATTTATAAATATTTTCTCCCATTCTGTGAGTTGCCTTTTTACTCTGTTGATAGTATCTTTAAATATACAAAGATTTTAAATTTTTAAGAAGCATGCTTTTCTATTTTTTCTTTTGCTACCTGTGCATTTGGTATCATTCCAACTTTTTTTTTTTTGATTAGTGTTAGTTGATTAATTTCATCCATTTACTTGTGTCTCTGTATTTAGAATTTTTGTTTGTTTGTTGTTTTGTGAAAAGCATATAGTTGGGTCTTGCTTTTTAATCCAATTTCACAATCTCTGACTTTTGATTAATTTACATTGGATAATTTTTTGGATAAATTTTTGGATAATTTACATTGAATGTCATTATTGATATATTTGACTTTAAATCTATAAACTTGCTATTTGTTTTCTACTTGGTCCATCTGCTCTTTGTTTCCACGTTATTCTTTTTGTTTCTTTTTTTTACATTAATTAGGTGTTTTTATGATTCCATTTAATCTCCTGTGTTGGCTTATTAGGTATATCTGTTTTTTGTTTGTGAGCATGTGTGTTTTTATTTTTATGATTGCTTTAGAATTTATAGAATAGTTCTTTACTATAGTCTACTTTCAGGTAATATTATATGCTTTTACATAGAGTTTAAGAACCTTATAGTAGTATACTTCTATTCCTCATCCCTATTTTGATACTTTTGTCATATATTTACTTCCATATATATTATAATTTTCACAATATATTGTTAATACTTCCTTTAAACAATTAATTTTATTTTAGAGATTTAAAAAATATTGGAAAATGTATATATATTCACATGTTTACCATTTCAGTGCTTTTTATTCCTTTCTGTAGATGCGAATTTTAATCCAATGTAATGTCCCATCTGCCTCAGAGACTTTAACATTTATTATAAGCAGGAATACTGGCAATGAATTAACTCAGCTTTAATTTTATCTGAAAAAACTTTATTTCACATTTGTTTATGAAAGATACTTTTTCTGACTATAGAATTTTAGTTTGATATTTTTCTTTCAAAACTCTTGAGTTATTGTTGCTCCACCATTTTCTGAATTGCATTGTTTCTGAAGTAAATCTGCTGTCCTTCTGATTTTAACTCTGTATGTAGTGTGTCTTTTTGTTTCTTCTGGCTTCCTTTAGATTTTTCTCTTTCTCACTGGTTTTAAGCAATTTAATAATCTCTCTTTGTCATGAATTTCATGCCTGGATGATTTTTTTAATGTTTCTTTTTCTTTTTTTTGCCACTCATTGAGCTACTTGGATCTGTGAATTTATAGTTTTCATGAAATTTAGAAAAAATTCAGCCATTGTTTCTTCAAATATTTTTGCCTCTCATTTCTGCTTCTTTTTTGATACTTCAATTACATATGCATGGGACTGCCTGAAGTTCTCCCACAGCTCACTGGTGCTCTGTTCATTTCTTTTCTGTCTTTCTCCCATCTCATTTTGAATAATGTCTATTGCTATCTTCATATTCTCTAATCATATCTTCTGCAATGTCTAATATGATCCTAATTTCACTCAGTATTTTTATTTTTTAAATTTTATTCATGGTATTTTTGTTCTGTAGATTTTAATCTGAGTATTTTAATCTGAATATTTAATCTGAATATTATATCTTTTGTGTCTGTCCTTAGCACATACATGCTTTGTCCTATCTTCTCGAATATATGAAACATATTTATAATAGCTATTTTAATATTTTTTTCTATTTCTATAATCTGTGTTATTTTAAAATTTGATCTATGCATTGATGTTTCTTCTCATTATATATTGTATTTTCTTATGTCAAGTAATTTTTTGTTGTATGGTAGATATTATGAATTTTACATTGTTGGGTGCTGGATTTTTCTGTATTCTTCTAAATTATTTTGAGTTACTAGAAATTGTTTGATTATCTCAAAGCCTGCATGTAAGCTGTGCTATGTGAGATCAGAGCAGGCTTTAAAAAAATTCTAATTGCTCCCCACAACTGAGACAACACCCTTTTGCATACTCTAGTTAATGATCTGTGCAGTAAGAGATTTTTCAACTCTGGATACTGGAATTTTGAACTATTCCCAGATATGCATGAATTCTAAGAATTGTTCTGTCGTCTTTTGTCTAGAAATTCTTTTCTCAGCCTTAGATAGTTTCCTCACAAACATCCATGGATCAGAAATCAACCAAAGAGCTGAGGGGAACTATCTAAAGATGCCCAGGTCTCTCTGTGAAATTCTCTACTATCCTGTAATCTTTCCTGCTAAATCTAGCCACCTTGTTATCCCTCAGTTCTTAACTCTATCTTCTCATCTCAGGAATATTGAGATGCTCTGTTTGATATCCCCCTGCCTGCTCTCCAGCCTGAAATGTGCTGGAAATCACAGGTCTCATCTCACTTGTTAATCTTCTCTCAAGGATTGCTGTTCCTCATTGCCTTTGGTCCACTCTCCGGAAGCTGCTGTTTCATATATTTTGTCCAGTTTTCAGTTGTTGAGTGAAGGAGGATACATCTGGTCCCTGTTACTCCAATCATAGCCAGAAGTAGAAGTTGACAGACTAGAACTTTAGAAGCTCTCATTACAACAATAAAGAGAACTTTATTCTGTTGTGCCAATACTAACCCTAAATATTTTAGTTTTGTCCATGCACTTTGTTTAATTTCTTTAAAGGAAAGTAGATCAGGATTTTCTCTTAGGAGTGAAGGTTCACTGCCTGGGCTCTGCATGCTTGGATACATGCTGAGTGTGGCTGTTTTATTTGGTTTAGTGGTCTGTAATGCATATTTATTGACCTTCAATTAAACCTTTAATTTTCAACCCTATTTTTCCTTCCTGCCACTTGCTATATCTGCTGACTCTCAGCTCAGAGGTGCTCCAGAGTTCTGTCAGATTAACTAACTAGCCCCTCCATAGCTTCTTCTAAGTATACTCAAGCCTTCAGTATCTCTGTCTGCTTCATCCACTTACCTGACAGACTGCTTTCTGACTTCTAAAGGTATGTTTCACTTATTCATTCACTCATTCATTCTCTTTCTTGCAGTGTTTATTTCTTCTCTTCCATTCCCCTTTTTATTTGTGAGGGAACGGTGTGCAATTTGGTGATGCAGACGGCAAAGCATATGCACGGTCTACTACCATCTCTTGGATTTTAAAAATACACTTCCTTTAACTTATGTAACATGCTGATTTTTCTTGGTCTTTAGGGAAGTTTACATTTATTACAGTTTACAAATTTTATTTTTACATTTCTTTACAGATTGGAATGCGTGCCTATTTCCATCTAAAATGATTTCACTCTTGTTTCCTGTGTCATACTTTTCACTTGAGATACAAGGTGCTTGTGCTGCTCTTTGATTAGCTACCCAGATATGTTGGAAATCCAACTTTTTTTTAGCTTCCAATCCCAACACCCTCACCCCCTTCAGTAGCCAGCTGTTCTTAGTCTCATACTCAGAAAATATATCATCTGTGTAAATAAAGTCATGAGTCCTTCCCTCCTCTTGAGGGCAATTTCCACACTTCTCAAGCATCAGTCCTCTCCAGAAACCCAAAGTGAAATCATTTACAGTTCTTACGAGGCTCCAGCCTATCCAAGTTTCTAATCCAATCCCAGAAGAGGAAGAAGTTACAGTAACCAGATTTTTATTTTATTTTTTTATGATGAAGATTTAAATTGTTTAGCTACCTCACACACTGATTCTATGTGAACTAGAATAGAAGGGTAAGGAAATATTCTTCTGAGAACCTGGCCCTTGTACATGATACCTAATAATGACTGCTCACATCCCATAAAGTGAGCCCTGAAATGTGGATAATGATTGAAGTTAGGAAGCAAGTCTTGATTAAACACAAATCTCAGAAAATAGCTGTGTTATCAGAAGTATGTGACTGAAGCATATTTGTAAAGATTAAGCCACAGAAGGGATATTTTATATGTTTCACTGAATGATTTTTTATGATGAGTTCCAGAACTAATTTATAATATGTTACCCTTTCTTTCTTAGTAGGCTTTGATTGCATTTACTTGCACATTTGATTACCTCATAAATTTTTCTTCTTTTGCAAAAGAGAAGATGGATCTGACTCATGGAAGAAGACAAGTATCCTGAGATTATAGCTGGAGGTCCAGTGTTTGGTAAAGTGCATGTCTCTTCTTGCACCCTCTGCTCTCCTGAACAGTGAGAAAATGACGGATCTAGGCTTATAGTTCTCTTGCCAGCCTGCATATCTATGTGAAGATCAGGACCCAAACCCTTGAGGACCCAAACCTTGTGTGCCTTGTGTCAACCATGGGATACTGGGGGAAGGGTGCTGACAGAAAAATGAGCGACATCGCTCAGATATGGCTCTCCTATTCCTTTTTCAGTCTTCACATCTCTACCTCGGAGGATATAAAATTTCTGTGACTGTATAAAGGTATTCAAAGGAAAAAAACATTAAAATGTACTTTTCCTGGGATCACTTGTCCCCCCTGTCAGGATTGAATCATGTAGATGAGTCTATTTTATTCCCCCAAGGCCAATGTTGCCTCATGGAAGTTCATGTTTTTAAAGAATCCAGAAAACTTCTTAGACATTTTGGAAATAGGAAAACTTCCATTGAGTTTATGGGATTAAGCATAGTAAAATAAAGAGGGCTTGATGTGGCAGATTGTGTTTTCTAAAGAATGCTTCCCGAGACACTAATATTCCACATGCTTTTCCTCAGTGTGGCCTTCCCAATCCTCCTGCTCCTTCTCTTGAGTCCAGGTGGGCTGGTAACCACATGAGCCAACAGAGTATGGCAGAAGTGATGCTATGACTAAGTCCTAAGTGGTGGTGCAGCTCTCCCTTGCTGGGTAAAGCACTCACTTTTGAGCACCAAGCTGCTGTTTAAGAAATGTGACTACATTGTTTTGGGCATGTTGTGAGAAATCCCAGAACAAATGGAGAACCCACATGCAGGTGGTATGGTAGACAACACCAGCTGAGAGCCCCGCTATCTGCCAGCTTCAAATGACAATGTGTTAGTGCAGTCTTTTTAAAAATTGATGTACACATAATTGGGTATCCATGTGCCAAAAAATAAAATAAAATTCATACCTCACTCAAATAGCCTAGAATATAGATCCACGGGGAAAAAAATCAACTACTCAAAATGGATCTAAATATAAAACTTACAACTTTTATAAGAAGACATAATAGAAAATCTTTGTGATCTTGGGGTTAGGCAATAATACCTTAGATAAAACACAGAAACACGATCAATCCAAAGAAGAAAGATGACCTACTGAACTTCAGCAAAAACAAAAATTATAGGGTTATGTTATTATAAACAGAAATTAAACATTTGTTAATCATAAAAAGAAATTCACGTAAATGCTGGAATCAAAGCTGTCGCAGTAGAAACCACAGTCTTATTTTTCAGTGCTTGGAGGGGCCAACTGCAGGACGAAAAAGGCAAAGCACCTGATATTCGTTCAACTAAACTGCAAAGAGGATTGGGTCAGAAAGAACTAAAAATTACAGGCGAACTAAAAATTGTAGGTTATAATAGAGAAAGAGTTTGACTACAAAGAGGTAGGAGGGAACATTTTGGTGTGCTGGAAATGTTGTATACCTTGATCGTGGTGGTGGCTGCACAACTGTGTGCATCATCAAAACTCATAGAACTGAACACTAAAAAAAGTTTTAGTTACATAAATTAAACTTCAATAAACATGATTTGAAAAAATAGGAGTTGTATGTTCAAGTGAGACCTAAAGTTTCGACTCTTGATCCACAGTGTGGTGTTTTTCTACATGCCTTATTTGTATCCCAGTAATTATTTCTTTCTTTTATTCCTCTACATTTAAAATTTATTTTTACTAGGTTTTCAAAAATTTAAAAATTGAATAAATGTATTCAATTATTTTTACTAGGTTTTCAAAAATTTAAAAATTGAATAAATGTATTTATCCCACTGTGGTTCACAGGCTATGTCTGGGTGTCAAACCCACCTCTTTCTTTCCTCACAGGATTCTGACAAACTTGTATAATTATCTTTTTATGTGGGTGATATAATAAAAATTTGCATCTATAGGAAAGGGCTCAGAGTAAGCTCAAAACTAAAATCTGATCGTATTCTGGGAATTGTAAAGTTTGCATATAATGAATACATCACTCAGAGTTTTGGGAATGCTAAAAATTTGCTCCAGTGACCTGGTATTATTCTAGAATTCCATGAACACACAAGACCACATTTGGAAGCAATGAGACAGCTTAGTTACGTTATGTCATCTTATCATTCTAGCAATAATAATAATAATGGTAATGATAAAGAAAAGTAACTCTTCAAGTCTCAGTGTGTGGAAAAATATCCAGTTTTGTGTAGCCTTGCACTCTGTGATTATACCTAATGAGTTAATATTTTAATAATGCCTCCTGGATAATAATTAGCCATCCCGGCTCCTTACCTGTCATCTGAAAACTATTGTCACTGTTCAAAGCTTACCAGACATTGTTTCTTCCTTTTTTCCAGTAACTAAGATATTAATAGTCTTTACTTGGAAAATGGTCCTTCCAACCATGCTAAAATTTTGCCCTTGTGTGGAATTTCCCTAAATCTTATCAGATGTGCTTTGATTGCACAAGCAGGCTGAAGTATGGTTACTAAAGATACTGTCCAGTCTTCCATTTAAATATGTGCTTAAATAGCATGTGGGTTCAACTGGAAGAATATAGCTAATTGCAGTGTCTTGGTAAATGACTTGTATTTGTTTTTCCAAATAGCCTAGGGTATAGATTCATCTTTTAACAGTTTCTTTTTATTTTTAAAGCAATGAAATCAAGGGAAAGGGGGTATTTTGAGTTGACTTTGGCTCATCCCAACATTGGGCTTTACCAACAGTCTTTTCAATGTAAATTCAGGCTTTCTCAATGATTTTTAATGTTAAAATTTGAGGAGCACCCTATGGGCTTCTCTAAATGTTAGCAGTGATGAGATTGTATTCTGTCCCAGGGGACCCACTAATGCTGAAATCAGGGATGCTGTACTGGAAATGATAGTACTTCCTTCTTCAGTGCATAGAGGGGCCAACTAAATGGCAAAAGTGGAAACAGCTGGTATTAGCTAAGCTTTGACGAGGACTGGGTCTAGGGAGCCAAAATTGTGGGTTATTAAAAAAATTGGTATTTCCCCCTTCCTCTCAGGTCTCCATGCCTCTACGCTCTCTAGTGACTGCTTAACTGTAGCAGAATGAGCAGCGGATTGGGGACAAGGAGAATGGCATGAGTGCTAGTATCACCACTAAACTAGTCCCGTGACTTGTGCAAATCATCAATCATTCCAAGTCCAGCCTGTATGTGTGTGTGTGTGTGTGTGTGTATGTGTGTGTGTGCTTGTACTGAAGTCTGAGAATAAGCTCTTATCATTTCTACATGTTATGGACTGATTTTTCACCCATTCTCAATCCATACGATGAATCCTAACCCGATGTCAAATATGTGTCTGTCTTGCCAAAAGTCAGTGCTGTTTCACATTCACTTGATCGGGCAGCCAAGTGACTGATGGACCTTTCACCATAAAGATCCCTCTGCCAATAGCAAAATACTTTTGCTAGCTAGAATGCAAACATATTTAGTCGGATACATATTCCTCTATGTAGGTGAGGTGTGTCTCACCTCTAAATGGTCTCATTCATTCATTGGCAGCAGACATTGGGCTTCTCAACATGTTGACTTATCCAATTTAAGAAAAAAAAAAAGACCTTGTAAGAAAATATATCCTCTACAACAGATAACTACAGACAAGAAGTTGCTCTGTGTAGCAGAGAAGAGAGGCATGTGCCCGTGCAGAGAATGCATATATGCTACCCTCATGAAGAGCCCTTAAAATGTATGACCCTTTCTCAGACTCCTATGGCAACCGAGACTAATTAACCTGTTGATTGGGGCTGAGATTCTGGGCTAAGCACTATTTTGCCTATTTTTTTGGGTAAGAATTTCTTCATATGTACCGTTGATCTTGTGAACATGTTTACTTGAACACCAGCAACTTGTGAAGCTTGGAGACCCATGCACCGTGTCAAGGTCTCACTTCTGAGTCAGTAGCAAGTCTGCTCCTTCTGAGTCGTCAGTAGCATCCGCTGACCTCTTAAAGCCCCTGAATTCCTCAGCAACATGCTTCTGTATGACAAATCGCTGCATGTTCTATTCAGTGACCTATGCTTTCCTTGAAATGACTCAGGGAGAGTCACAGAGTGGATAACCCATTATTGGAAGAACACGTCTGAGTTATTGAGGGTACTTCAGTCAAGAGCACATTGTAAACATAAATGTTTACACTAAGGGTGGCTGCTGCATTCTCTGCAAAACCATCCTCTTCTACCCAAAGGATCATGATTTTTTGTGACTATATAGTCTATAGGTCTACGCCTGGAGCAAAGTTGAATCAATAAGTTTTAATAATTACAGTACACAAAAGAAATGGATAAAATGAGATCAATGCTCTTAGGAGACAATTCAAAAATTTGTAGAGATGGCACAGTTTTTCCCATTTTATTTTATTACTAACTAGCTATGTGAATCTGGACAGTTGCTTAGCCTCCGTGAGTCAGTTTTCTTATCTTTAAAAAGTGAATTTCTTAAAGCACATTAGTAGCTCAAGCATTGCTGAGAAGGACTAGGCTAAGGCTTTTCAGCAACCAATAATGAAAATCATGCTACAGGAGCTGATCACCGGATGAAACTATCCTGCTGGCTGCTGGCTGGCTGCCCTCCACTGGCCTGGCAAGAATTCAACTTTCAGGAACTTGATGCTTCGCTGCAACCGTTTTACCACTTCGCAAAGGCTGGACTCTTTACGCACACTTACACCAGCAATTGAGTGCTCTGAAAAGACTCGAGCACCTCATATTGCTACACTTCCAAACTGAGTCTCATACAGAGGGCACCTTATTGGTATCTGAGCAGCAGGCACCTACCTGTAGCAGGTTAGAAAGAGCGCTGGAGGGTACTTTTCTTTGAATTCAGATTATCCATTGGAAGGCAGAATTGATAACACTTGGCATATACCAACATGTAGGAGGGATGTTCATAGTATATTGGGTGGCCACGCATGACAGAGTGTCCAAGAGTTGAGGACATTGATGCAGCTCCAGCATTGTAACTGCAACCTCCCTGGCATAGGCACAAACAGCTAATATATCAATTTTTCTTTTG